AAGTAGACATTCTTCTGGTATTCTTTGCTTTCAGCTAGGATCCTTAGACATTGGCAAGGATGTGTTTACCATGTGTGTGTTAAGGTATGTAAATTCACTGGAAACATAAATTACTACCTGATTTCTAGCTCTAGTGGCCTAGTGGCAAGATGATGTGCTGTAATCCCAAAGTTACGTAGTTCAAAGCCACCTGTTGCTTTGCGGAAAAAGGATGGGTAGTCTCCTCCTGTGCAATTAACTGCCTCTGAAAATTCATTGGAGGGTCAGCTATGGGTTGGTTCTGACTCTACAGTACACAATAACAACTACATTTAATTATGCTCAAGAATTATGCTCAGTTTTAAAGTTGAAATTTTCCGTTAAAAAAAACCACCAAACACACGAAAAATTGTTATGTAGTTAAACTTGAGGATTATTTATTTATTGTGCACCTGCTGTGTGACTAGATACTTGAAACTGGAGATATAATGGAAAATCTGATAAACTTCTTGTCCTCACAGAATTTAATTTCAAGTTGTGTTAGAAAAAAGTTAAAAGAAATGGGCTGGAAGAAATAAAAGTTGGATAACAGATTAAATAATAATGCCAGGAGGAGATAATCTTAGATGATCTCTTGAAAGAGAAATGAAGTGAGAGAGTGATCTAGTCTCAGAAGTGAGAGCATTTACAAAGACTTTAGAGGTGGTACTACTGTTGTTGTTGTTATGTACCATCTAGTTGCTTCGACTCATTGCGACACTGTATACAACAGCCCTAAATCCTACTTTATCCTCTGCCAACCTTACTGTCTTTGACCCACCTACCCTCATTATCCCAGTTACTGAATCAATCCACCTCACTGAGGGTCTTCCTCTCTTGCACTGTCCCTCTTGCATAACGTTCCTCTCCAAGGACTGGTCCCTCCTTACTGCATTCCCAGAGTATGTCAGACAAAGCTTCAGAATCCTTGCCTCCAGGAGCAGCCTGGTTTCACTCTCTCTAGGGTGAACCTTTTTGTTCAACTAGCAGTCCATGGTATATTCAGTACTCTTTTCCAGCACTACAGCTCAAAGGCATCAATTCTCTTTCTATCATCCCTCATCATTAACCAGCTTTCTGATGCATAGCAAGTTATTGCAACGACCATGGCCTGGATCAGGGGCACCTTAGTGCCCAGACTGACATCGTTGCTCTTCAGTACTGTCGAGAAGTCTCTGATAGCCAACTTTCCCAATGCAATTTATCTTTCAGTTTCCTGGCTGCTTGTACCAAGAGTGTTGATTGTGGAGCCAAGCAAATGGAAACTGTTAACGATCTTAGTCTCTACACTATCTATCTGTATACTGCCAATTGGCCCAGTGGTGGGAATCTTTGTTTTCTTGGTGTTGAGCCTCAGTCTGTATTTAAGGCTGCAGTCCTTGACCTTCTCTGCAGTAAATGCTTCAGGGCCTCCTCAGTTTCAGCAAGAGGGTTGTGCCATCTGCATACCACAGATTGTTGATGGCTCTTACTCCAATCCTGATGCTACATTTCTCTTCATAGAGCCCAGCCTTTCAGAGCTACAAGAAGCTAATCTTAGAACAGAAGTTCAAGGCAAAAGACTTTTTCTCACAACCATCTAAGATAGAGAGCCTTCCCTAATACTAGTACCTGGTATTTGGACTTAGAGACTCCTAAATTCAAGAGATACTGGCATCAGCATAAGAAACTTGTAGAAGTGTGGGGCATTTGGAATCACAGAAACCCAGAAGGCTTGAGATAGAAATCATTCTATCAAGGGCTGGATGGGGGAGATAGGTGTTGAATGGCATAGGTGGGAGAAGAAAGGAATGCTGGGGGAACAGAGAAAGGGGTGATAAATTTGAGGAACACAAGAATAGTGTGACAATTCCTGAGAGACTGTGAAAGAAGGTGAGTTTTAAGATCTAGGCAGGGGGGCTTGGGGGGAGGGCTGGGCAGGGAGAAAAGTGCAACAATAAATGAATGGAAATCCAAAATCTCTGTAAATGTTCATTAAAATTATTCAAATTAAAAAAAAATAAATAGGCAGGGCTTTAGTTTTTCTGAGTCATTGATGAAATGATTGTATTTGTAATTGTGAGGCCAAACTATTGTTGTAGTTTGTGGGATTTTTATGTCTTAAATTACAATTATAAGCAGAGTTAAGAAAAAGTTTGCAAAAAGTAGTAGAGATTTCCCATATATTCTTCCTGCAGTATTAAAATCTTGTGTAACCATCACTGAAATAATCTTTGCTGAGAATTGTGATGTCACTTTTATTTTGAGAGTAAAAGGGTAAACGTAGATTTATTACAAAGTTACATCCCCAAAAGGGCTGGAGAATAGACTGAATAGGTTGGAGTAGAGCATACAAAGTCCAATTAGGAAGCTTCCATAATAGCTTAGCTGGAACCTTGGTTATGAGTGATAGTCATGATAATTCCTTTTTTTATGGGAGAGTCTCAGTACTCAGTATTATTTTTAAAAACCAGGCTTAGAATATCATACTAAGAAATTGAACAAACCTTTCTCTGAAACCTGGTAGGTGTATTTAGTTTCTTTTCATAGAGACAAAATACTAACCTAATTTAGATCAAGCAACATAGTTTTCTATGCATAAGCAGTTTTGATAGTAGTTACTGAAATGGATTAGGTGATTTCTTAGGATAATGTTCAATAACTGCTTTCTATCAAACCTGCTTGTTTTTTTACTGTGTATGTAAGATGCCATTTTTGCCATGACACTGAAATAGAAGTAATGTTTTTTGTAACTACTTTCAAGTCTACCAGAACTCATTGACCATATAATTGACCTGAACCTTGCTTTATCCTGCATCATCCAATAGTGCAGGATCTAAGCATTATTAATAATTATCCTAGGACATTTGGCATAAATTAGCACTATCCCGAGCAAACTTGAACTTTAAAGTTGTTCTTTTGCAGTCTATGGGATATTCAGTGCTCTTCACCAATACCTCAGTTCAAAGGCATTAATAATTCTGTAATTCTTCTTTGTCCAACTTTCAGAAGCATCGGTAGAATAGGTAGCTGTGATTCAAATCAGCACATTTTAGTCTTTAAACTGATATCTTTGTTCTGTACCCCTTTGGAGAAGTCTTTGACAGCAGATTTTCTCAGTGCATGAAAAAATTTTGATTTCTTGACTGCTGATTACATAAGTGTTGATTGTTGTTGTTAGGTGCTGTCGAGTCACTTGTGACTCATAGCGACCCTATGTACAACAGCTCTGAACCCTCCTCTATCCTGAGCCAACCTTATTATATCTAACACAGTTACCCCCTAATAATCCCCCAGTCACTGAGTCAGTCCATCTCATCATGGGTCTCCCTCTCTTGCACTGTTCCTCCACCCTCCCCAAGCGTGATATCCCTCTCCAAGGCTGGTTCCTCCTTGCAACTTGCCCAAAGTACGTCAGACGAAGGCTCAAAATCCTTGCCTCAGAGGTGCAGCATGGCTTCGCTCTCTCCAGGACGAACTTGTTTGTTCTCCTAGCTGTCCATGGTATATATTCAGTACTCTTCTCCAGCACCATAGCTTAAAGGCATCAGTTCTTCTGTCATCCCTAGTCATTGTCTGGGTGTTTATTATGATCCAGTTAAAATTAAATTTCTGACAACTGCAGTAAACATAGAATTGTTTTGAAACAGATGTGTTAAATAAAGTCTTTATTTTTAGTAAAGAAACGGAAAAGATTTATGTGTTATACACCACTACATATATACTCTATAATTAGTGTGTACGTTAGGGTGAGAAAAGAGATAATTTATGAATATTTTCCAAATATATTTGCCTCTTTAAATGTCTTCACTGCTGCTGTACTTGCTGTTCCTAATTGGCTTTTTACAGCTTTATTGAATCTTCTCCTGATGTAATGTTCAGTTTCTAATTTTCTGCTTGTCATTATTGTTCTGTATGAGTGTGTATGTATGCCTTTTTTTCCCTTTACTTTCTAGGATAGGACTATGTAACAGGAAAATTGTGTGACTTTTGAGACTTTGGGTAATGTCTCCTAAGTCTTTATAAGACCACTTTCCAATGCTTTCTAGTTCTGTCTTGTGTTCTAAAATAAGTGTTTCTAACACAATCAGTGTTGGTTTGAATAACTGGGGAATCCTGTTAAATGTAGATTCTGATTCACTAGATCTGTTATGAATTAGATTCTGCTTATTGTCCATGATGTGGAAGCTGCTATTTTCAGAGTATAAAGGTTATAGACAGTTTATCGGAACTCTGAAAGTCGTGTGGTATAGGGTATTACTATACTAGTAGTGCAGGATTCTTTAAGATTGTTGTAACAGATGATTTAAAAGGAGAAATTAAGACTTTAAGGAATGTAATAATTTAGTTTGTTTAAGTAATATTTGTCCTTTTTATTCACATTTCCCTCTTCCATATGTTTACCAGTGTCTTAACTCTAGTTTTTACTTCTTTTTCATTTTTTTGTTGTGGCTTTTGTTTTTGTTTAATATATTATTGTGTTTTGTGGATTGGTCAGGGAACCGTTACTGTATTTTATGTTTGTATCTACATTTTATTTTGCATGCGTAACGTGGCTTTGCCTGGATGTTCTTTTTGGTAAGTTCCAAATTTATAAAGCATATTGGTTTTTGTAGTATAAGTTGTAATATTTTTCATCATCTTTTCTCCTACTTCTGGTGATGTGATCATTCTCATGTCTTGGTTTGTTGTTTTTTTTTTTTAATATAAAAGAGTTCATTTGATAATTTTTTTTTTTACCATTTTCCAGTTCTCCTTAGTAGTAGTGCAATTTGGTACTAATCTGCTTTGATTTATTTTAGAGCCTCTCACTGTCAGTTGCTGATCACTATTAGCAGTTGCTGTGTAGAGTATTTTGGTTTTTTAAATTAAAAAAACTGAAATCATCTAGAAATATTTTCTTAAAGCTTGCGCTTCCATAAAGAATCATAAAAGAAGATAGTTTATAGTAAATAAAACACCTTGTCCTCTGTGAACAATACATACTAATTTTGTTTTTACAGCAACAGCTTGCTCAACTACAGAAAGAAAAATCAGAAATTCTGAAAAATCTGGCATTATATTACTTCACATTTGTAGATGTTATGGAATTTAAGGTATGTATTTTACTGTATGAAGGATTAACATTTCAGAGGTAGATTTAGTTAATTATGAACTTCATTATCATTTGTTGAAATAAAATGAGAATTCTTGTAAAAGTAGATTTGATACACATTTTATTTAGATGTTTTTTAAAATGTAAAAATGATTTATAAAAAGTATAGATTATAATGAACTTTTGTTTTCAGGATCATGTTTGTGAATTGCTGAATACCATTGATGTTTGCCAAGTTTTCTTTGATATTGTAAGTATCATTATTAAATGAAATTCCAATTTGATTATTTTCAATAGAACTAAGGTTCTGATTGTTTTTCTGTAAACTTTATTTTTTAACATTATTAATTTGTCTTGTTGCTCTTTTGTTTTAAATGTAAGATTGACTGTATTTTCTCTCTTGTTTTTAGAATGTTGATGATTGTAAATATACTTTTTTTATAAATGTAAATAGTGCAAAGTAATTATTAATTTCAATTTTAATATGTCAAGTTTTGAAAATTTAAGGAAGTATTATTTTCTCCATAAAAGGAGTGTCTTTTTTTATAAAATAATTTTTAGAATATTTCCTAGGAATATGTTTCTCAATGTAGGACATCAAAACAACAACAAAAATTATTGACTTGTAGTGAAATTTATGTCCATTAAATTAATGGTTAACTTTTTTTAAAAAATCCTTTTCTTAGTAGAATGGGTACCAATGTGTCTTACTATTCTGTTAGTTATCCTTTTAAACTATTACTTGTTTAAGCAAGATGATCACAAGTTTTTTGCATCTATAAAATTATATCACAAATACAAAACTAAAATTTTAGACATTGTAGAGATGGAGATAAAGCAATTAACTATAGAAAATTATTAGCTTTCATTAGCTGCTATGATTAATTTGACTATGTTTAAAAGTTTGTGAAATATGAAAGTTAAAATTGATTGTTTTTTCCCTAGACTGTAAATTTTGATTTAACGAAGAATTACTTAGATTTGATCATAACCTATACAACACTAATGATACTGTTATCTCGAATTGAAGAAAGGAAGGCAATCATTGGACTATACAACTATGCTCATGAAATGACTCATGGAGCAAGGTAGAGACCTATGTTTTAAAAATCTTTTTAACATTTTCAGTTTGATGGCTTGTGACTTAGTGAAATGTCTTGCATCTATTTAAAGTGACAGAGAATACCCACGACTTGGTCAAATGATTGTGGATTATGAAAATCCTTTAAAGAAGATGATGGAAGAATTTGTACCCCATAGCAAGGTATTGATTTTTAGATATAATACGCATACCTGTCATTTGTTTGTCCTAGAGTAGCATGTATGTTTTTGTTATATATTGCTGGAAGCTATGCTGAGAGTTATATTTTTTTAAAAAGTAATAACAGTTTTTATGTGAATATATACCTTTTTAAAAAAATTATTTATTTATTTATTTTTTAACAGAGGTTTTGGATTTCCATTCATTCATTGCCCCAATTTTTTCCCTTCCCACCCCTCCCCACCAGCTCTTTTTTTTAAATTATTTTTTGTGTTTGTTCTGTCAGATCTGACTGGCACAGGAGGAGATTGTCCCTCCTTCTCCAGCAGAGCATCTGGTGGATTCAAACGTGAATCTATAAGTTTTACTTAAACCTTTTTATTGTGATTTGAATGAAAATGTACAGATCAAATTAGTTTTTCCATTCAGCTTTTTCTTGACATACAATTAATACCAATAATTTTTCTTAAATTTTGGTTTCCTCCACCTTTCCTTTCCAAGATAGAAAGTCTGTCCCATCTTTGGGGCATAACTTTCTAATTATCTTTACTTTTTACCTTAAAATTTTTTTTTCTTAAATTTTATTATGTGACAATTGTCAGGATACTTTTAAAACTTTTTTTCTTTGCCTAGCTATATTATATTCACACATTTATGTTGGTTTTATACCTTATAGTTTTACAGATCATTTGTTTGAAAGGGATGGGATCGATTTTGAGGTAGAAATCTGCACTGCAGGTAGAAGTCCTAGAAAATCTCAAGATAGATGTGAAATATCATTGTTATCTCTTGGGAGCTCTGGTGGCCTGATGGTAAGGAGATACACTGCCATACTCCAAGCAAGTGGTTCGAATTCACCAGCTGCTCCACAGGAGAAAGATGAACAGTCTCCTTCTAAGCAATTTACAGCCTCTGAAAACCCCTGGTAGGGTCAGCTATGAGTCAGTTTTGTCTCAACAGTATATAGCAACAGTCTCTCTGATTTTGATTTCTAATTTTTTTTTTTTATTTATTGATATTTTACATTTAGAATTGTCTTCCTCATTCTATTTCTGATAATTTTTCCAGTACAATATAGATTTGTTTTTAGTCACTTCAAATTTGATTCTTTTCTTTTATAAACAATGAAATTTTCTTAAAAGTTGTCACTAACACTAGTTATAGCCAATAAGAACAATGAAAGTTACTCATTTGAGTGAGAGTTGTCAGTTATTTCTTAATCTTGATTTTCCTAATGCCTTACAATATCTCAGAGGTAATTCTGGTAGCATATTAATAAAGAGCTACAGTGTCAACCCAAAGACACACAATTCAAATCCATCATCTGTTTCATGGGAGAAAGATGTGAAGTCTTCTACCATGCAATTTACAGCCTCTGAAAACCTGCTGGAGAGGATCAGCTGTGAGCCAGATCCAACTCTAAGACACATAACAATGTGATGTCTCAGTTTTTATAGATTTATTAGCATGCCTTTACCAGGATTTGTTAAAATAATCTAATTTTATATTAAAGATAGTTTTAGTCAGAATCACTCTTTAGACCTTAATAAAAGTAGAGATCTGTGGATTCTGCTCCCAGAGGTTCTGGTTCCCTAAGTTTCGGGTACAGCCCTGAGTTCTGTATTTTAACTATGTTTCCTGACAATTTAGGTGTATCTGCATTAAAGAATATCTTCTGGTCTGGGGTTCTAGAAACAAAGATGAGTAGCAAAGGACTTTAATGAAGTTAAGCAAGATATAGGTGAGGTGCAATATTAAATACAATACTTTTGTTGATAAATTTGTAATTAACAGACCAGTTGGCAAATAGAAGTGGTGTAATTTATTAGATAGAATATAATTTTTATTCAGCATTCTTTAGAAACATGTGGAGGGCTATTAACATCTAGCTTAAATAACTTTACAGTCTTTTTCTTTGAATGAGAAATACCAAAGTCTAGCTATATTACACAGGAGGAGGATACTAGATCTCTTATTGCTTTTGAACTAAAGGTCCCAAGGTAATTAAACATTTTAACCTATATGAGAGGAATATGTTTCCTAAATGGACCTCTTGCTTGGGAATGTAGATTGTATGTAATATTAAGAAATTGAGAGGGAAAAGTCTTGAAGAGGGCAAGTCTTGAAGAGGTACAAACTCATATGTTTTATGGAACATAGTTTTAATTAGACTGTTGTTTTGTGATGGTACAGTGGAAGTGCGAAGCAATTGTTGCTAGTAACCACTGTGCAGTTAGTTCCTGATTCATGGTGATCTCTTATCACATACACTGAAATGACTAGTCACCGTGATCACAGCGAGATGCTCAGTCTACCTTCATTCTCATCAGATTTTTGTAATCTGGCTGGCTGGCTTTCATTGACTGATTCTCAGTATTAGATCACTAGATCTTCCTTCCTAATCTGTTAGTCTGGAGGCTCTGCCAAGACATACAAGCTTAATAGACAGGACAGGTGGCAGCTGCACCTGAAGTGCTTCTGCATGCAGTTTTATCTGAAAGTTATGTAAAAAAGTTTTTCAGCTTTTCCTTTTTCTGTTTTAATTAGTCTCTTTCAGATGCACTAATTTCTCTTCAGATGGTATATCCTCGAAGGAATCTTTCAGCAGATCAGTGGAGAAATGCCCAATTACTGAGCCTCATCAGTGCACCCAGTACAATGCTTAATCCTGCACAGTCTGACACTGTATGGTTCTGTTTTACATTTTTTGAATGAAAATAGTAAAATCTGTTTGTTTCAGAGTACTAGTTAAGCAAGTGAAACTGCAATTTTTGTCCCCGTGTAGCTAACCAGTGAAATTTATTTAAAAATGCTAATTAGTTAAAGAACAGTTGAATTTTTATTTCTAGATTCTAAACAAAAACTGATTGTAAGTTAATGTAATGTATAGTATGTGTATTTCTTAAGTTTAAAAGTTTGTTTTATCTTATCATAGTAGGAAATTTAGAAGAGGCAAAAAAAGAAAGAAAACAAAAAATTGCCTAAAATCTTATTATCAGCTACAAAAAAATTAATGTACTGCTACATTTATTTCCAGTCTTTATTTATTTGAGAATATATGTCTAGATAGATAATAAACATACATGTATTTACTCATTTTGGTGAGGTAGTGAATATCTATCTACGAAACTCATTTTTAACTTCATTAAAACTATAGGCATTTTGCGAACTGTGAAGTAGACCAGGGAAGTTTGGAAGTTGTTATTTACTTGATTATAGAACATGTTAACAAAAGTATTTTTAAAGAGTAGTGTCTACTAAGCAGAAGATGGGACAAGTGTCTCTCTCGAAGGAACAGAGGGAGTGAAAATGGCACAGCCCCTCACCATCCCATACCAGAAAGCAAATGAAAGAGTCTGTAGATATAGAGCAGATGAAGAGCCCATGGTACCTCTAGAATCACACCAGTAGCAAGAGGCTTGATAATGCTTGTTGACTCACAATTGTGGTGCTGAGAATGTGGTTTATTAGGGGTAAGTTAGAGAGTGGTGGAGGCAAAGAATATCAGCCAATACAAATCCAAGTTTTAATCCAGCAGTTTTGAAGGCACAGTTCGTCAATTAGTCCAGGTACTGATTTTCGTTTAGTAGTCAAATCCAAATCAGCCAGCAAAGTTTGCCTTAGAGCAGTTATAACTTAGCTTCTCCTTCAAGCATCCAGCAAGAACAGCAAAAACCTTAAACTGTGGCCTTTTTCTCAGGGTTCCTCTTCTTACACCCTGCCACAATTTCGCTACAGTAATATCACAGTCTCTCCACCACCATAACCAGTATCTCATTCTCAACAGGGTCTTGCTCCAGTCTCCCTCAAGTCTTTCTACTCAGTATAGGAAGCCGTCTCACTTATTGTAGTCCCACAGCTGTTGATAATTTGCAAGACCTTGTACCTGGAGTTAAGATAGCTGGAGACCAGTGGGGGCTAACTGTAATAGCTAGAAAAGCCAACTTTTAGGCTAACACTGCAGTGTGTAAATGTGAAAGAGGTCAATTAGAATATCAAATAGAGATTTGTTCTACTTTTTAAATCTTTTTATTTTGTTCAAACTTATAGTGGAGGCTAAGAACTGAGTAGTACTTCTGAGAAAGGAGATGATAATACAGGATTTTTAAAGAGTATTTTTTAACTGCAAATTTATATCTCTTTAAGATGCCTTGTGAATATCTCTCTTTGGATGCAATGGAAAAATGGATTATATGTAAGTCAATCTCACACTTGTCCTTCAGGTTTTAACTTAGAAACTTAGCAGAATAGTATATATTACTTTTGTGCCAAATACTGTGCTAAGCCATTACTTTATTTCATCCTCATGGAGACCCCATTTGGTCAGAGTCTGTTTTATAGATGAGGCAAACAAAACTTAAGTCATAAAGCTGCTAATAATAAAAACAAGCTTATAACTGTGGCTAACTCAAGGCTCATTATCTAAGTTATGGTGCCTTTCAGCATAACCACCAAAATTAAATCTTTATTTTGTTTTTTAATGATTTTGGTGTTGCATTTATTCAGTAAAAGATTTTTGTTATAATTTACTTCAGTGCATACAATGAGTGACTGATACACTTGGAAGTTTGTTAGATGCATTGAGAATAAAATAAATTTCTGATCTGAAGAATCCTGTAAACTGAGTGAAATAAACACATAGACACACAGAATAATAAAGACTAAAAATTGTTCTGAAGTGAATTCTTTCTGCTATTTAAGACTCACTTCCAGAAAGCAGTACTTTTGGACAGTGTTTTAGTTTTTGTGATTGTAGTTCTCATTTATTGATTTAACTTTTTATAATATTATTTTTGTTTTTATTATAGTATTTTGTTCAAACTGTGGCAAATGATTAGTTTTCCTTCTCAATACTTGATAAATTGGTAATTCTGTAAAATGTGATATGAATGAATTGTTAGAATTAACAGAAAAGTATATAAACTAGACACATAAAAGCCTATATTTTAAATGAATAGATTTTGTATAATCTAATAATTAGATCAATACCAGAGTTCTAGTCAGAAATCATTGTCAAATTTCTATAAAAGTTTCTAAATATGCTTCATATTTGGTAGGGATAACAAGTTGAGTAGCCTTATTGTTAATATGAAAGAGGAAGAGTTTAAAATCTACACTGTCAACTCTTAAGAGAGCTCTGGGAGTATAGTCCATAGGGAATTGCATACTAACCCAAAGGCTATGTCTTTTATGGTTTGACTCCATCAGTGACTCTATTGGAGAAAGAAAGAGCAATCTCCTTTCATTGCCATTTATAACCTCCTTGCAATTTACAGCCCCAGAAACCTGATGGAGGGTCACTATGGGTTGGAATTGACTCAGTGGCAATTATGTACCCTTAAGTAACTCTGGTGGTACAGTGATTAACTCCTCATCTGTTAACCAGAAGATTATTAGTTTGAACTCACCAACAGTTTTGCAGGGAAAGGATGGGAAAATCTTTTTCTCTAAAGAATATAGTCTTTAAAAAAAAAGAATATAGTCTTGAAAACCACAAGGGCAACTTTACTCTCTGAGTTTTAATAGAATAGGTGGGAACAGGCTTCCTTGGTGTAGGTTTTTATCTGCCCTTATTATTTTTTAATAATTTTATTATTTTTACATTAATCAGGTTTATAATATAAAGTTTTTGACACTTTGTAGTTAATAAAACCAACTTCAGAGAGTTAAGTTTTACTCAAATACCTAGTGATCCTGATCCTTCATTGTTGAAAAGTTTATGTATGTGTATTCATAATTCATTGTGCTATGATTAGTAGCATACCAGCTATAAGAAGTGTGGAGTCAGTAGTGTCCCAGTAGTTTGATTTCCTGTATAATGCCGTGATTTCTGACATTAACCATCCATCTTTCGTTCAGTTCCTTCACTCCTCTTAATGTTCCTTGGATTCAGTGGTTTGCTAGAAGATCTCCCAAGAGCCTCAGACCCGTCAGGAGAATGACTCATTGACTGTAGTGACTATAGATATGCAGACCAGTTTTGCAGAGAATGTTGTAGACTTTCAGTTGTCATGCAGCCAGAAGTCAGACTTCTGAAAAAGAGAGCTAGCATTTAGTTCTTTGAACATATATAAGCCTCTAGTAAGGTAGGGCTTGTATCCTACCCTAATCCTATCTCCTTAATACAGTACTTCTCCAAATACTTCGTAATACAATACATACCACACATAAAATAATTTATCAATGGCTAGGAACGACATTTTGAACAATAAACCTTTGACACCACAGAATATGTTTTCCTAAATTGCTAGCTATGTATTGATGCTCACTCAACAGCATTGAGTTTTTTAAAGTAAATCTTGGCCCCAGGCTAGAATCTAGAGCAGTAATTCTCGGAATTGTTTGCATCAGATTCATTTGGAGGATTTTTATATTACACAGACTCCTGGACTCCTCCCACAATGTTTCTCATTGAGTGGATTTCAGGTAGGGCTGGAAATTCTGCCTATCTAAGAAATCCCCTGTTAATGCTGCTGGTATTGGACCAGACTTTGAGAATTAATAACCTAGAGTAAAGTTGGGCAAGTGTGGGTATGGGTATTGGTGTCAAAAAGAGAAGTATAAAGTTTGAGGTAATTCCTAACCTTTGTACTAGGTCTACTTATGTCTCAAATACATTAAAGCAGCAAAACTCAGAATAAACTTTCCTTTCTGTTAGAAAGGAAATTGTGATTACCTATAATCTGACACCCTTCTCCATGTTCATATGTTCTCATTATGGTAGAAGGGTGGCCTTCTCTGTTTTTGTATCTGTGTTCATGTATCATGCACTCCCATGTTTATCTATCCTCCATTATAGTGGAAGGGTGACCTGCTGATCTACCCCTTTCCTCATTCTACAAAGCATCATTTATCCCATTTAAGATAAAGACTAAGAAGAAATGGCTGTACACCCTGAAATCAGAAGAACTACATAGTGACCAGGTGTCACTACTGACTGATGAAAACCATAGGAAGTTCTGGACTGAATGGGTAGAAAGTAGAAAATGAAATTAGAAATAAGATACTAGACTTACTGTTCTGAGAGAAACTGGTGGAACCTCTGAAACTGTGGCCTTTACACATCTGTCAGGCCTGGAACTAAATCCACCTCGGGATCTTCTTGTAGCCAACACATAGGTCTTTAAAGTGAGTAGTACTTGTGCAAAACTAGGTTCTCAGAACAGTCAACCATATGAGAACAAAAGGGCAGCATTGGCTGCAAAACAAAATTCAGAAGGCAAGGAGAGGCAAAAGAGAAGGAGGAATAGAAACAAGGAACTCAGGAAAGATATGGGAAGAGTTCTCTTAAATTAAGGAAATTGTAACATGTTATGAAACACAGTCTGTATAAAATGTTGAAAGAAAAACTTTTATTCTGTAAACTTTCACTCAAACCACAATAATTTTTTTTCTAATTAAAAAAGAAGAATGGTACTATGTATGTAACTCAAGAGGTCACCCATGCATTATGTTGTTATGCATAGTCGAGTTGCCTGTGACTCATAACGACCCTATGTACAACAGCCCTAAACCCTGCTCTATACCGTGCCAATCTTATTGTCTCTGGCACACCTACCTCTCATTACGCCATCACTGAATCAGTCACTCTCATTGAGGATCTTCCTCTTTTGTGCTGTCCCTCAACCCTCCCAAGCATGATGTCCCTTTCCAAGGACTGATCCCACCTTGCAACATGTCCAAAGTATGTCAGATGAAGCTTCAGAATTCTCAACTCCAAGGAACAGCCCGATTTCACTCTATATGATGAAACTCATTGTTCTCCTAGTAGTTTATCAGATATTCAGTACTCTTTTCCAGCACCACAGTTCAAAGGCATCAATTCTCCTTCTTTCATCCCTAGTCATTGTCCAGCTTTATGGGTTCAGTAAATGTATTGTAGTTAGTTTTTCCTCTAGAATTTGTATAAATTGGTTTCAAGTGATTTCAGTAGCTTTCTTTGATTCCTTACCAGAGTAAATAATTGGCTTACATAAAGGAATTTAGAAAGTTATATATACATCTTTATGTATAACACTATATCATCACTTAAAGAGTTGACTTGCTTGTATAATGATCATTTTAAGAATGCTTGGGCTAAGTAAAAAGATAAATTACAATTGATATTAAGTATTGAAATAATCATATAGTTATGATGTAACATGATTCAGGAGTTTAAAGTTGAAGATTGAAGTGAGAGTTATATGGAAACAGGAAAAAAAAATTTACTGGTTTCTAACTGTCCCAGCACAATACCCTGTTAATGCTCAGTAAATGTTTAATGAATAAGATGGACATGAGCAAGCATGCCCACTGCTCTTCTGTAAAAAACAAAATAACAGACCACTGCCACTGAGTTGATTATGACTCATAACAACCCTGCAGTATACATTAGAACATAAGGTTTCCAAGGCCATAACTGTACCTAGGAAACTGTCATATCTTTTTCCACTGAGTTGAGTTTGAGCCACACATTTTCATTGGCTGAGTACTTGACCATTGCATCTGTGTTCAGTTTCCAGATTAGGTAACTAAAGATAAAAGAATATGTGGACAACATATTTAAAGAATATTATACTTTAAAATTAAATATTTGGGGCTAAATTATAACAGTAACACTAATAACTTCGGGCAAGTCATTTACCCTCATTGAACTGTGAAAGGCTTATCATGTGAAAAATGTGTGAAAAAAAGTAAATTATAAAAAAAGAGATACTATTTATTCTAGTCATGTAGATTTGTTAATAAAACTGCTGTGTTAGGTATTAATTAATCCTTTTTGAACTTTTAACATCACTTAATAAGTATTCCTGAATATATATTTTACCAGTTTTGAAAATAATAATTGCAAAAACCATACATGACTTTTTTTTTCTTTTTTTGGTCCATGTAAATCTAAAACAGTGGTTTTAGACTATATAAAATAATAATTGAAAATGGAAAGTATTGTTACTATCTTAGATACGTTTTACTAACTTCTTTTAAATACTTTGTTTATTGTCATTTTTAGTGGCAGTTTACAGAGATTGCGTTTTCATTTATTCATTGTTAGGCCTTTTCCTTCATCCTCCCCCATGCTCTGTTAACTTTAAAACCTCAATTTAGTGATATCATTTTGTATTTTTTAAAAAGTAAGTGAAAGGACTTAACTTGAAATGCATTTTTAATATAAATTGCATTTTAATTTACTTTTCTTTTTTTTTTTTTTTAAGTTGGTTTTATTTTGTGCCATGGGATCCTAAATACTGATGCTACGGCACTGAATCTTTGGAAACTAGCTCTTCAAAGTAGCTCTTGCCTCTCTCTCTTTCGAGATGAAGTTTTCCACATTCACAAAGCTGCAGAAGACTTATTTGTAAACATACGAGGGTATGATGTGTTATATTATTTTGCCTTTTTCTGAAGAGGGTTGTGGTGAGCAAATTATTTTTACTATGGTTTTGTAAGTAGGAGGTAATGACAGGTCACATGAAACAATATGGATATCCTTTACTGTCTTCTTGGTTGTAGTACATTATTAACTATAACCTGATATGATAGTAATCATGCTTTTCCATGTAACTCACAAATTTAAATATGTAATATCCCTGCCCTTTCAAAATTTGCATTTTAGAAGAGTCAGGATAGATTTTGTGTGTGTGTGCGCGCGCAGGCCCGCCCCCCCCCCCATGTCAAATTAAATCTGACAGGTACAGGAGGAGATTGCCCCTCCTTCTCCAGCAGAGCATCTAGTGGAATCAAACCGCTTATCTCTGGGATTGCAGTGCAGCTTCTTGCCAATAGGCCACCAGAGCTACCTAAGATAGATTATTTTTTAATGTCCTATATTACTTTAAACATAAATAGCTTTGCTGGCCTACTTGTTAGGGAGATGATATTGCTAACCCAAAGGTAGGCAGTTTGAAACCCCTAGCTGCTCTATGGGAGAAAGATAGGCAGTCTCTTCCCTTGTGATATATAACCTCTGAAAACCCGGTAGAGGGTCAACTTTGAGTCTACTCCTACTCGATGGCAAGGAGGGTACCTTTTAGAGCTTTGAAAATGTTAGCGATGCTATTTAATAAGAATCTATTTCTAGGGGAGCTCTGGTGGCCTAGTGGCAAGGAGCTGCAACTACAATCCCAGAGGCACACGGTTCGAATCCACCAGATGCTCTGCTGGGAAAAGGAGGAACAATCTCCTCCTGTACCAGTCAGATCTGATTTGACGGTACACTCACACAAAAATTTAAAAAAAATAAAAGAGTCTATTTCTAAAAGCTTATCAGTAAGAAACTTTTAAGTAAAAGTCATAGAAATCAGATACTGTAATTAAAATGGGATTTATTTCAAGTGATTCATTTACATCCATGGCCTAGTCTCTGAAACTTTAGCATATTTGAATTTTCCAGTGCCTGTAGTAATTAACTTGATGTTCTATAGCCGGTATCTAAAAGCCAAGTGGTCAAATTTGGTGATGTCATATAACAGAGGTAGCCATTTAACTTTTAATACTTGTCCTTTCAGAAGTTTTTCTGTGCTTATGAGATAGCCTTAATAAAAAGTCTCAAGTGAAAACTTAGTCAGCACTTAAATTTTTAGAAATGACATTATAATTTTAAGTCTATACTAGGCTTAAAGAGGTGTAAGATTTACTAGGAAAAAATTGCTTTATGAAGTTTAAATGTATTTTTAATACAGTATAAAGTGAAATTTATTTTTATAAGAGTTACTGGCTGAGCACCTAAGGGGTCTTAGGGGCTTGGGGCAGACTTTTTCCGTATGTTTCAAGATTGAAGAACAGTCTTCCCTGATGATTATGATAATGGCAAATAAAATGCTATGATTTCTGAAAGTATGATTAGTTTTAGTATTTGACTATATGACTGCTTATTGATCACATTTCGGTTAATGTGATTCTCTTATTTTTGGCCCATAGGTATAATAAACGTATTAATGATATTAGGGAATGCAAGGAGGCAGCTGTATCACATGCGTAAGTTCTGTTATTTTTTATTTTATTTTGTTGAAATGAGTATAGATGTTCAAAATGAGAAAGTAAAAGAGGAAGAGTATTAATCACTGAGAAGTAATACATATATATGACCTCAATATCTGTAATCTTGGAATTAGTACAGAGAGTTTAAATATTATTGACATGTCATTAAAATTCTCTAAAAAAGAGTCATTCAAAGAACATTTAACATTGAAAGTACCAATGTGCTCCCTGGTCTAATACTTTGCAAGTTGTACTGATTTTTTTAACTATTGGTGAAAATTCATATAGTCACACACTCTTCCAAATAGTATGATAGTCTTCTGCCTTTTCCAAATTTTAGTTTCATATATTACTAAGTATGACTTCTTATCTCTGAACAACTTTTCAGTGTTTCTGTAAGAAAGAGATAAGCATCCTTGCCACAGGTGAAAATATTAAAAATACCACAAAAATTTTTAGAATTTATATTTAGGCTATAGAATGGATATTGGGAATTTAATTTTTATGTAAGTCATTTATTGTTCTTATTACATTTTCCCTCCACTGAATGAAATATTTATTATTTTAAAGGATTCTTTGGTATAAACTACTTACTTTTGAGTGTATTAGAACTCCTTTCTTGATCTTTCGAGACAAACATCAGTGTAGTTGTTGGTATAAACGCAAGTAATTTGTAGACATTTTGTCATGATATTAAAATATGCCACAGACTGCACTTTGAAATAAAATAGTTAAAATAGCATTTACTCTTTTTTGTAAGAACTAAGACCAAACAACTTTATTACTGTACAATGAGCTTTACTGCAAATAGAGTGTCAAGTACTATTATGAAAGCTATCTGTGTATCTCTTGAGGAAGATTACATCTTTTCTGTTTTAATAAAAGAGGAGCGGAAACTGGAAAAAAAAGTAGAACCTAAGGTTCAGGGACTAAAAGAGGGAGAGATTGGACTTTAATCTGTTTTCTAAAATCTTTGTTCCTAAACTATATTTCTTATTTTGTATATTACAGTTTTGTTATCATAGATCTGTAAGGAGCTCTGGTAGTGTAGTATATTACATGTTACCGAAAGTTGTAGTTTGAATCCATCAGCTGCTTCTCAGACAAATAATGAGAAGTTTGCTTTCATGAAGATTTATAGTCTTAGAATCTTAGTGGAGGGTCACTTTGAGATATCATTGAGTCAATCCCAGGAAGTTTGGTTGTTCTGTATCACAAACAGTTATGTGGCTATTAAGTTATACACCTTTCCCCAGCAACGGTAGCAAAGTTCAGCAAGGCAGCAAAAACAAATGCTGGTGGGATTGTGGAGAGATTGGAACTCTTAATCAGTGCGAGTGGGAATGTAAAATGGTACAGCCACTATGAAAGATGGTCTTATGCTTTCTCAGAAAGGTGGAAATGGAAATACCATTTGACCCAGCAATTCCATAACTAGGAATATACCCTAAAGAAACCAGCTGCCACAAAAATAGATATGTGCATACCATGTTTTTGCTACATTATTCACAATAGCATAGAGATGGCAGCAACGTAAGTGCCCATCAACAAAGGAATGGGTAGAAAAACTATGCTGTATTCACACAGAGCTCTGGTGGCCAAGTGCCAAGAAGTTCTGCTGCAATCTCAAAGGCACATGGTTCAAGGTCACCAGCTGTTCCATGGGAGAATGGGCAATCTCCTCCCGTGAGATTTCTTATCTCTAAAAACCCACTAGAGGGTCAGCTATGGGTTGGTTCCTACGCTCTGGTAAACAAAAATAATATATTCATACAAGGGAATACAACACAACACTGAAAAAACAAGGAACTCATAAAATATTATACAACATGAGTGACTCTGGAGGACATTATGCTGAATGAAATATCTCAGCACAGAAGGGCAAGGACCGCATAACATCATTGTTATAAAACAAGACTGACAGGAGGTTGGAGTGGAACTGAGAAAAGAGGTGATAAATAATGAACACTTCATTGGAACAAAGGATGGAATGGACTATTTGAAAGGAATATATGATTAGGCATCATCTGTATGAGAGCAGTCCAGAAGAAGAGGTGTATAGTGGACTGGCAGGGGACAGAGAGGGAGAAAATTATGCAATAATGAATGAATATTTTTTTTAAAATAAGTTTAGGGGGATAAGGAGGAAAATATGCAATAATGAATGAAAATCCAACTTTTCTGTAAACTTCGGTTAAAATCACAATAAAAAAACTTACACACCTTTCCTAAATCTTGGAAATTTCTTTAAGTAGTATGTATTTTACATAGTGTAAGGCATTAGAGTACTTAAAATATTTTTTATGGTTTTCCTTCTGTAGCTAATATGTAAGAATAATTTCTTTCTAATTTATATTTTATTTTAGAAAATATTTATTATTTGAAGAATTATAGTTATCCTCTCTGTTTTTCTATATTTAGTAGGAATAAACTAAATAGCAGGATATTAGATGGCTAGATAATAAGTTATAATTTTTACTATCTGTGTGGAGTGACAGAATTGCATATGATGAGACAGTACTTGTTTTCAGAGATTCCCTATCCAGTTTATAAATTGCTAAGCTATAGGGTATTAAAATTGCAAGAATTGTTAAAAATGAACAGTGGGTATTCATTCAGAAATGCTTCCTGAAAGATTGGTCCTGAAGGTTGGGCAGCATTTTGATATGTGGGGTATAATAACATAAGCTTGGTTATTACCGTGGCAGCACACACAAGGCAAGGGTAAACATGAGACGGAAAATTGTGTCATTCATGACAGACACATAGAAAATGAATTTTGCAAATAATATATGCTTTCTAAAAGCCTTTGCAAGATAAACTTTAAATGCTAAGTGACTTTAATTTCCAATAAAAATTTTAATAGAAACAGGTAAACGATAATGTCTTTATTTATAGTGGTTCAATGCACAGAGAAAGACGCAAGTTTTTAAGATCTGCATTGAAAGAACTGGCAACTGTCCTCTCTGATCAACCTGGCTTGCTAGGTCCCAAGGTAAGTGTTTTAATTGTTATTGCAACACTAAGTATGTCATATTATTATTTAAAGTTCCCCTCGCCCCCTGCTCTTTAAGTGGGATTTTACCAATATTTGAGTTAGGGGTGACATAAAATGACTTGAAATATATGAAGTGTAGAATAAACTTGCTAACCTGACACTCAAACACTTGTATGCATGCTTTCCCTCATACATACCTCCCAATTCTTCTCTGTTATCTCCTGCACAGCATGCTGTGCGCATCTGGTTTGTTCTTGCTTTCAGCTACTATCATAATTCAATTATCTGCTTAGCAATAAGCCACTTAAGTTTTTGCAGTCTTGTTAGACTTCATGCTAGTCTCATCTCACTTTTAAACTTGATATCGTATCTTGTCAGTTAGTTTTCACTTAGAGAAAGGTTACAAATGGGCTTCCTTTTATATCTTTGAATGACAGTAAACAGTGAGTTTGGTTTGTTTGTTTGTTTTAAATTAGGCACTTTTTGTTTTTATGGCATTATCATTTGCCCGTGATGAAATTATCTGGCTACTTCGTCATGCAGATAACATGCCAAAGAAGAGTGCGGATGACTTTATAGATAAGTAAGTTAGCAAAGTTGGTTGCTGGGGTTTTTTTTTGTTTGTTTGTTTGTTTTTTTAAATTAATTTATTTATATATTCTGGTTTCTCATTGTGGAATTTGGGACCTTTGAGGTAAAATTCTTTTTAAGACTTAAGCGTTTCAAATTTGGCATAACAAGAATATATATTTATAGTATATTATATTATTTATAATGCAAAGTAAACTTTAGCTTAAAGTGAGAGCTTTTAATATTTTTTTCCAGTACCCTAATTGGTGACAGTAATGTTTAGTTTCTTTGACTATATAATGTTGTATGGAATTAATTTTTCAAAATGATTCACTATACAATACATTTAAATAAGAATCTATGTAAAAGTAGAGTTGTAACCCATTTTTGTTGTTGGAAATGTCTGTCTTATGTGCTGGCTCTTTGACTTAACTGAATTAAGCACCTCTCTGGTAAAGTATCTTTTTCTTATTTTGGTCCTCAGTTCTTTGACAGATAATTGAAGCAGTGAATTAAGCACACAGAATGTCTTGTTTCCTTATCACTCACTGTCATTTATGATTTCTAAATGATATATTTATGAGATGTCCTAATTTATTTTCCTGTTGATTTTCAGTCTTAGTTTTGTCTACTTTGCTTTTTATAATTTTTTATTCATAGGACATTGAAAAAGAGAGTAATTGATATTAAATATTTAACAATGCCTTATTTAAGACAAAAGCTTCTAATAATAATAGCAAGGTCATTTCATATTTTCTTTGATAACAGTGACTTTATTCTTTCACCTAAATTTTCTTAAACAAGGCACATTGCTGAACTAATATTTTATATGGAAGAGCTTAGAGCACATGTAAGGAAATACGGACCTGTGATGCAGAGGTATTATGTGCAGTACCTTTCTGGCTTTGATGCTGTTGTCCTCAATGAGCTTGTGCAGGTAAAAACCTCTCTATCTTATTCCACCTTTGGTTCTTTCCATATTTCTAGTAACTGGTGTGTTTGCTAAACAAGCACTTAGAAATCATAATCATGTGCAAGTGCAAAAGATACACGTTAAAATAAATCACAGTCACATCTTTTCAAGAAGATCATTATGTATGTGTAGGAAAAATAATTCTAGTAGTTCAGTGTGTCAGGCATTATGAAGAGTGTTTAAAACTCATTGAAGAAAAAGATTCTTTATTCTTGGGATGGTGGCATGCTTGTAAAACAAGTTAGTCATAGCACATTTGCTATATAGAGTGATTTCTCTGGCTAAATGTGAACAATGAATGGTGGAAGCTATCTTAGTTATCTAATACAACTGTAACAGGGATACTGTGAGTAAATGGCTTTAAAAAATTTATTCTCTTAAAATTTAGAAGGCTTATTGTTGTTGAGTACCGTTGAGTTGGAACCCATCTATAGCAGACCCTCTAGCGGGTTTTTAGAGGCAGTAAATCACACAGCAAGAGATTGCCTTTCTCTGAATGAGCAACTTAGAAAGCTGGAGTCCAAATTTAGGGTCATAGGTTTAGGGTGGTCTTTCTCCATGTGTTGGTTTTGGAAGATGTCTTTGTACCAGCATCTATAGGCGTGCTAGTCCTCGGAGGTCTCCATGTGTCTTGTCTTCACCTGTGTTAAGAAGTTTTCTTGCAGAGAAACCTGGCTCCACAAGGCATGCTCCTGATTCTTCTATTTTGGTGATACTGAGGTTTCCCTGGAAACTTTCATTTTTAATATTGTTGTGTAGCAAGTCAGACCTGACTCATAGCTGACCCTTTGATGGGTTTTCAAGGACAGTTAATTGTGTGGGAGGAGATTGCCCATCCTTCTCCCACAGAGCAGGTAGTGGTCTCTAACTGAATGCCTTTGGGATTGCAACGCAGCTTCTTGTCACTAGAGCTCCCTTCATTTTTAATATGCTTCTCTTATCTTCCTAAAGATAAGGGATTTCTGGGGTCCTCGTGGTAAGAAATGGTGCTGTACTCTCAAAGGCATGTGGTTCAAATACTCCAGCTGCTCTGTGGGAGGATAGACAGTCTCCTCCCCAGCAATTTACTATCTCTGAAAACCTGCTAGTGGGTCAGCTGTGAATCATTTCTGACTTGATGGTATGTAGCAGCAACAAGAAGAAAATGCAGATAAGAAACATTGGGCATATGATTTTACTTTGAATTGTGTTAATTTATGCTACTATTCTAAACTACTTCTTTTATCCACTAGATGGAGCACAGATGCTTCCTTTTTAGAATAACTTAAAAACTCATTGTAGTCAAATTGGAACAGACACATAACTGACCCTCCATTGGATTTTCAGAGTATACATTGCACAAGAGATTACCCATCTCTCTCCAGAGAGGCAGCTGATGGATTCGAACCACCTGCCTTTGGGTTGGCAGTACAACTCTTTACTCACTAGGGTATCAGAGCTCCATTTTTAGAGTAACTATTAAATATGGGATAAAAGCACTGATTTTATCCCTAGGATGTTATCTAGGAAGCTCTGGTGAACTGTTTGAATTGTTACACTGCCAACCTAAAGGCAGGTGTTTGAAACTCAACAGCTGCTCCGTGGGAAAAATACAGGCAGTTTCTTGTGTGATATACAACATCTAAAAACTCTCTGGAAGGTCAGCTATGAGTTGGATCCATCTAGAGGTTTATTTTTCTATTAATTAATTGATATTGTATAATAGCACACAATATAAAAGTAATCTAAAACCCCTAGTTCCATGAAACTTTGAAATTATATTATGGCTATTTTGATATTCACTGTGGAGCTCTCATAGCACAATGTTTATGTGCTCAGATGCTAACGGAAAGGCTGTGGTTTCAGATCCAGTTCAGTGTGGTTCCATAGGAGGTGGTCTGCTTCCATAAAGGTGATAGTAAAAAAACACCCCTTGGCGCAATTCTAACATGTCACACGGGGTCACTGTTAGTCAGAGATCAACTTGACAGTATCTTAATAACAACAAAAAAATTTATTTTTTTGTGTTAAAATTTTAAGCTTATAGGTATTTCTTATAAAGACTGAAATTCAATATTACTGAGAAAATTAATTATGTTAACATTGCTTTGGGGTTGCAAAAAATAATTGTATAAGATGTAGCAATAATGATAATGATAATAAAACTGCTGACATTTATTCATGGCTTATTATGTTTATGCATTTTCATGTGGGTAGGGAATGTTACTACTTAATTAAAAGAAAAAGAGATCTTATGTAACTTGCTCCATAATGCACAGTACATAATTGAGACAGTATTCATGATGTATTTGCTAGGACTTATAAAACAAGTTCTGGTGATGCTGTTTTTAAGGCTTTTACTTGCTGTCTAGTTGGTGCTTAGAATCGATTAACCTCTGTGGGACAAAAATGCTTCTGTGTAGATTTACATCTTTGGAAACTGTGGGACAGCTCTACTCTGTCCTTCAGGATTGTTGTGAGTTGAAATCAACTCGATGATAATTGTGTAGGACTGATAAATTAGAACAAGTGTTCACTCTAATAGGTTTTTTATTTCCCCCCTCGTAATTATAGGGTTATTAGGTTATAAATATGATTGAAATCACTAAAGTCTTAATGTTTTGAAAATCTCATTTCTTTATGCTGTTTGTGAGCTAAAAGCATAAACTTTAAAAAATTTTTATTATCCATTTTTACATAGTTCAACATACATATATTCTGTGAATGATTTTCATTTTGGCAAATACACCCATTTGTTTAATCACCACTGCAGTCAAGATACAGACTGTTTTCAATACCATTAAACATTTTCTTTGGCTGAATTATGACATTTGATGTGTCTCTTCAGCTTCCAGCAACCACTAATCTTGTCAGTATGGTTTTGCCTTTTAAAACTCTCCTATTGGTGAAATCATACATATTGCTTTGGTTTTTATATTTTTCACTTAGAAGAATGTTATTTATATTTATTCATGTTACTATCTTTGTTAATAATTCATCCTTATTTCTTTTTCAGAATCTTTCTGTTTGCCCTGAAGATGAATCAATCATCATGTCCTCTTTTGTTAACACTATGACTTCCCTAAGTGTAAAACAAGGTAGACCTAAATTAAAGCATATTTCTTTACAATTAGGTTTGCATACTTAATTAATAAAGTTTAATTATTACAAAACACTTAGTGCAGATTTGTTTAGCAGTCCATCACCACTGCAGCTTGTACATTTGGGCATGTTAATACTGTTTTTTCTTGTCTTTACTTTGCTGTTTCTGAAGCAAACTTTTTAAAAGGGGCCTGTGATAATGTTTAAAGAACCATTAAGAATTGTAGTTTAATATTTTTTTTTTAAAAGAGGCAAATTGTAAGAAAAAAGAAAAGCAACAAGTAGATACTTGATTCAAACTTATCTATAAATACAGCACTTAATAGTATCATTTAAATGATTATATAATCTATGCAGGACCTTTCATATGCATTATCCCATTCCATGCACATAAATTCTTAAGTCATTATTACTTTTATTTTATATAATTCTGAAATTCAGATTTTCAGATATAAAATAATTTATGCCATCTCTAATAGCTCTCTATAGACTTTCTAAACTCTATAGATGTACAGAAATAATGTTAGTTATAAAATAGAGTTCTGCATAGAAATGATGTCAGTTACGAACAGAGTTCAGGTCTTTTGTGCAAAACTTACTCTCAGTTGTATTCGACTTGACAACACTTATCCACTGTTAAATGAAACTAGTGCTGTTTATATCTTGAGGAATACTCTTCCACTTTGTAAGTCACTCTGTTAGTGTGGAGAATGAAGTAACCTGGGTTGCGGTAATGCTGAACCTTGTACCTTTGGGGAATCAAATACCAGAATGGTTTCCCAGTATGGATAGTGTTTGGTGGAGCTCCCAGTTGTAAAACAGGTTTGGAAGCAGGAGTGGTGTCCACTTCCTAAACCATATGCCTCTGAAAACTCTATGAACTTGGAATTGAAAATAGTTATGAAAAGGCAGTAGGTCTTTTGTTCATAGAGTCACTACGAATTGGCAGTTGACTCAACGGCAATCAACAACAACAATAATAGCTATTAGTACTGGAATAGGAATTAGAGTTTAAATCTATTGATCTTTGAGAGTTAGTATTGTACCTTTGACTGTTTTTCCATTATTTGAACACTCCATTTTAATAGGTGGCTGTTTTGCTATGTTTTTGGTTAATAAAGGTAACAAACTCTGAAGTTTTCAGAATAATAAATATTTAGTTTGAACAAACTCATATTGTAGTTACTATTAACTCACTTGGTAGATAATTGGTTTATATTGAGTTATTTGGGGATTCATGGGATTCATGGGTATTCGGGGGATCTCGTTAGATTGTCTTACTCCACCTTAGCATGTAAACTGGAAAGTTGAGGAGAAAGGATTGAAAATTATACTTCTCTTTGTATAGTGTTCCTTTATCATCATCTCTGTAGGATTTGAGAATTATTTTTCACTTTCCTACCTCTTAACTTTCAAAATGTGATTATAAATTTGTGAATACATTATTTTTCTTTGCTTTCTCTTTTTTCTATTTTCACAGTTGAAGATGGGGAAGTATTTGATTTCAGAGGAATGAGATTAGATTGGTTTAGATTACAGGTAAGAATAAATTATTGTCCTTCTGTTTTTGTTATCTGAGTGCCGTAGTCTATTGCAATAAAGTTATTACCTTCATCAGTTGCACTGGTTATTAAACTGGGACAAATAGATATCATTTAATCCACATAAAGAATGTCTTAGTTATTTAGTTCTGCCTTTTGACAGCATCATAGTAATAGAGAAGAGATTGAGATTATTAACAATTGAACTTGCTCAGTTTCACAACTAACACTCTTGACATCCTCAGTCATGAAATCAAAAGATGAATTGCATTGGGGAAGTCTTCTGTCAGGGACCTCTCTAGAGAGCTGAAGAACAAGGATGTCAGACTAGAGACTAAAGTGCTCCTGATCCAGGCTTTGGTCTTCACAGTTACTTATAATGACTCAGAGAGCTGGACTATGACCACAATGACAGAAGAATACCTTTGAGTTGTGAAGCTGGAGAAGAGTCCTGAACATGCCATGGACTGCAAAGTGAACAAACATCGTCTGTCTTGGAGAGGATGAAGCCAAGCTACTCCCTAGAGGCAAGGATTTTGAAGCTCCATGTCACATACTTTGGTCATGTGGCCAGGAGGGAGGATCAGTCGTTGGAGAGGGACATCATGCTTGGAAGAGCGGAGAGACGGCACAGCAGAGGAAGCCCGCATATGAGATGGATTGACACAGAAACTGGGGTAATGAAAGTAGGTGTGTCGGAGACAGTTTGGCTTAGGATAGAGCATGGTTTAGAGCTATTGTGCATAGAGTTTTTGTGAGTCCTGGTCGACTCAATAGCACATAACAGGAACATAACAAAGATACCACAAATAATTGACCTTAATAAGCAGAAATATATTTTTTCACAGTGTAGAAAATTGTTGTTGTTATGTGCCATTGAGTCACCTGCGACTCCTAGTGACCTAATGTACAACAACTCTGAAGCCTGCCCTGTACTGAGCTAGTCTCACTGACTCTGACACACCTACATCCATTGTCTCAGTTACTGTATGAATCCATTTCATCTGAGGTCTTCCTATCCTGTGCTGCCCCTCCACCCTTCCATGAGGTCCAGGACTGGTCCCTCCTGACCACATGCCCATAGTGTGTGAGACAGAGCTTCAGAATCCTAGCCTCCAAGGAGAAACTTGGTTTTACCCTCTTTAAGATGGACTTATTTATTTTCTTGGCAGTCCATGAAGAGTTCAAGACTCTTCTTCAACACCACAACTCAAAGATACCAATTATTCTCTCCTCCTTAGTCATTGTCCAGCTCTCTGATGCGTAGCAAGTAATTGCAAAGACTGTGGCCTGGATCAGGCGCACCTTAGTCTTTAGACTGACATCTCTGCTTCTCACTATTCTGGAAGGGTTGCAGGTTGACTCAAGAGGAAGGCTTTTTCACAGAGTGTCTCCTGGTTTTAGGAGTTTCCCAGTACAGGAACTAGATCCAAAATATACAGCTGTTCTCAGCTCCTCTCTTTTGATGGTACCATGGCTCCCTTTTTGTATCCTTTAATCTCTTGTCAGCTAAAAGATGTTCTATGCCACATTCTAGGGGAAGGCTCCTTATGTCAGGGCTGTGAAGTGATTAAGGGATGGTATTCCACTTGTAATCCTTTTACATCTGTTTGCTTTTTAAGATCATGAAGTATCTAACATAACTTCCACTGCATTACTAAATACACTTTTTTTTTGGACACAGTCAGTTAACAAACAAAATATTTATAAATAGGGTTGATTATAATTTTTAAATGTTTATATATTTAAATCTTAACATCTTTTAAATATCATGAATCAGATAATTTTATAGTGAAAAATATTTTTTGATGTAATAGACACTGACAATTTTTTTTTAAAAGAATTGAATAGTAAAAGTTTTGGGCATGTGGGCTATATATTTTGTCATAACTGCTATACTATGCCTTTAGGGTATGAAATCCAGCATAGACAACAGATAAATAGACGTAACCACGTCCAAAGTAAAAATTTATTTAAAACTGGCTGTGCAGTCACATGCTGTAGTTTACTCCAGCCTAATTTAGAGATAAAAGCTTAACTCTATTCCCCAAGCACAGTAATAAATGCTACTAATAAATACTAAAAAAGTTTTCAATTAATATGTAATTCTCACATAAGTAGGTTTTGAAATACAAGCCTAAACTTTTTTGTAGACTATTTTTTATAATTGGGGGGAAAACTGGTTTAGTATTCTTAGAAATTTGCTTATCTTTAAAATACATCTTTTTTCATGCATCCAAAGTACTAATACTATGCATATCAGTATTGGCTTCCTGGTTCTGGTAAGTCAATTTTCCAAGTATAAATTTCTGCCTCTTATTTTTTAATCCTAACATTCCTCCTGGAGAGAGCAAGCCCCTAAAATCTTTTAGGGTTTTGGGTGATGACTGCGTTAGCTGCTTTTTGGTGGAATTAGGTGTTGTCCAGTCTACAGGGGCTCACAGTCTCTCCCTGAACCTACTTTTGTGGGTTGCTAAATGCTCTGGATACTACACTGTTGGATTGAGAGGCATACAGTAAATACACAGACACACATACATATCTTTTTAAGTAATACTACTACTACTATATATTTTTATTTAAAAAATCTCAGACCATCCAGAATTAAAGTAGAAAATGACAGTATGCTTGTTTTCCAGTTTCATTTCCCAGAAATACTTATTTTCAGTAACAGGTTGATATTCTTTTAGAAGTATTGTTGTTGTTGTTAGGTGCCGTTGAGTTGAATGCAGCTCATAGCTACCCTGTGAATGAAAGATCTGAACCCTAGTCTATCCTGTGCCATTAGAAGTGTAAACATATATATTATAATCATACTACATAGTGTTCTGTAACTAAAATACAACTTTTTTTTAAAATGAGAGAAAAAATATGCCATATGTACAGATAGAATAGATTTTTCTATGGGGCCAGAATATATTTTTCTGGGAATTTGCTAAAGTTCCTTCTGGTTAATTTTACTTTAAGTTCTTTCCTTCCAATCTCAAAATATATAGATATTTTTTCTCGTGTTTGTTCTTCTGCATTTTGTGGAAGGAATATTTTTAGAAAGGTAAATTCTATAGATAAAGTCAGAAGTTAACTTGCCTATAACCAAAGAGCCCAGGTCGTGAGGCAGCAGGGAACCATAAAAAATTCATAGTTGTCAAGTTTATTTTGATTCATAACTGACCCTTTGTTGAGTTTCTGAGGCTATAAATTCCACAGGAGGAGATGTCCATCTTTCTCTAGTGGCGTCACTGGTGAATTCAAACCACCAGAGAGGTGCAGTGCAGCCTTTGGAATAACAATACCACTCTTAAAGGACTGTGCACTAGAGTTCCTTCATGGAAGCATACTACCTATGCATATGTTGTTGTATTCTTATGTGACGTCAGACTGACCTTGGCTCATAGCCATGAACAACGCCTTTCTCCCTATCCTGAACCAACTTACTCATCCATCAGTCCATACAGCTTAATACTACTGTTTTATTGATAGATCTTTGTGCTATTGTATTATTATTGATAGATCCTTGATTTTTTTTTTAAGATCCATGATTTTTAGATTTTTTAATGAGTTCATCACCAGCTGTCTATATGATTTTTTTTTCCCCTTCTATTTGCTCTGGTGACCTGTGGTGGCCTAGTTGTGCTGCTGACTCAAAAGTAGTATCTCTCTAATGGATCGAATCCACTAGCCACTCTTAGAGAAAGATGGACAGTCTCCTCCTGTGTAATTCACAGCTTCTGAAAAAACTCTGGAGGGTAGTTCTGTCTTGACAGCAATGAGAAAGACTCATTTAGCCATCTTTGTGCCAGGCAATTAGTTTATTCCTTCCTATTGCATATATAAAAATCCATTGCCATCAAGTTGAATCTGACTCAGGTAATCCTGTGGAGCAGAGTACAACCACTATCACATTGGGTTTCCTAGGCTGTAATCTTTATGGATGAAAATTGCAACATCTTTCATGAAGGTGACTTGTAGTTCTCAATGTCAACCTTTCAGTTCACATTCAAGCACCTACCCATTACTCTACAAGGACTCCTTTCTTTACTGCATGCAGACTTTTTTTTAAGATAAAAGCATTCAAAAAATGATGAGCTGCCCAGCTGAACAAGAGAAGTCTTAGATAGGAGAGGTAAAAATGTAAAACTGTAAAAATGTCCAAAATAAAAGACATTTACAAAGATTTTGAACAAAGAAATTTACAAAGATCTTAAATAGCAAGCAGTGAAATTTCCATGTCTACAGACTCTTAACTATAGGATACAAGGGGGGTGGGGGGGTGGGGAGAATAACTTATCTAGAAAGAGCCATCCCTGGAAAAGGATACTTGTTTGGGAGAGGGTCAGTGAAATAGAGGAAGACCCTCAGTAAGGTGGATTGGCGTAGTGGATGCCACAGCTGGCTCCAATATAGTAAAGGTTATGAGGTTGGCACAGGAACAGGTAGTGTTTTATTCTGTTGTGTATAGGGTTGCTGTCACAGATTGAGTTGTGTCCTCTCAAAATAAGTGCCAACTTGATTGGACCATGATTCTTAGTGGTTTGGCAGTTATGCAGTGCTGCAGTCATTCCTTCATGATGTGATCTGCCAGTCTAATAAAGGAATTAGGATGGAATGTAATGCCACACAATTTCTCAGGTCACACTCTTAATCCACAGTAGGGGAAGTTTCTCTGGGGCTTACCCTGGACCATCTTGTATTATATTATATGCCATAGAGTTGACTGCAGCTCATTGCAACCTTATGAACAACAGATCTGAACCTGACCCTTTTGTGTGCTGTCCTTTTATCTTACAAGAAATAAAAAGAGAAGTAAGGAGAGAAGGAAGGACCGCAGTACCACAAAGAAAGAAGAGTAAGGAGTGGAGTGCATCCTTTGGATCTTTTTAATTGTGCTGAACACCTCCTAGACCCAGGAAAGATTGATATCAATCTTACAGTTCAGCTCTCTAAGGAATTCCAGGTTCATAGATGTTCAGAGGAGAAAAGGACTTACTCAGAGAGCTGCAGCCCTAACTTCAGATCTCTAGCCTCCTATATTTTGAGAGAATACATTTCCATTTACAAAGCCACCAACTTTTGTGGTACAAGGATTGCAGTAGCACTGTATAACTAAGTTACTATAAATTGGAATTGATAGTATTTAACAATTAAATAGTCCGTTGTTATTTACTCAAGTGTGACACATAGCAACCCTATGAACAACAAAACTGAACCCTGTTCTATCCTGTCATCCCTGACACATTTGAACCGCCTGCTGAGGACATTGTATCTATCCATCCATCTCTTGCTCTCCTTTGCTGACCCTCTACCTTTCTAAGCATGATGTCTCTTTCCAAGGAATAACCTCTTCTATCAACATGTCCAAAGTATGTGAGACAGTCTATAGATGAGTTATACACACATCTCTTTTAAGGAATTGATTATATATCTAGATCAGATCAGACCTACATGGTGTAAAAAGTTAAAGTTGAAAAATCTAAAAGATTATGGCCAGATACTACCGGCAGACTATGATCAACTCTCAGTGAAATGTAGCTTTCTCAAAAGTGAGAGAGAGATTTTTCAAGTTGAAATGGATGGTTTTTGCTTTTTTAGGAAAAATAAGATTTTACCAGAACCTTGAAAAATGAGTAGTATTTGAATTGGAAAATAGCATATACAGTAAGTCCTTGGGTTATTATTAACATTTAGATTATAGACAATGCACACTTGCCCTTTTATATACGTTTCCCCTCACTTTGAAATGATTGTGGAACCCTGGTGGAGCAGTGAATTGAGTATTGGGTTGCTTATCAGATGATCAGTGCTTTGAATTTGCCAGCTTTCTGGTAAGAGGAAGATGAGGCAGTTAGCTTCTCTAGAGATTTACAGACTTAGAGATCTTTAGGGCAGCTTTACTCTGTCCTGTAGGGCATTGGAAGAGAGTCAGAGGCAGTGTGTTTACTTTTGGGATTGAAACAATTGAAACAGCCTCTACTTAAAGAAAAAAAAAATCACCTCCTGCCTATGTAGCTTTTAAATCACTGAAAAGACTTTTTGAGTCTTTTCTTGCACTAAAATGTAAGGTGTAAAACTGAAAACTGTAAACCTGTACAAATTTAACCACAAATTAGTCTTAAAGACAAACTTAGGAATTGATCTTCATAATTTAAGGATTGCCTGAGAAAGGGTAAAACTGGGCAACAGGCATATGAAGGGACTGTCAAGTAGAAAATATTAATAGGTAAGGAGCAGATATTCATAGAGGTGTGCTAATGGTCTAACATTGATCACTGGCCTTCATTGCTTGCAGAAGGACATCATGTGGCAGAAATTAAGCACATGAACAGAGAGAGACATAAATGTCTTTTGTAACTAGTAGTTCTTGAGTAGAGCAGGGCCAGAAAGATAATCTTTTGGGAGAATTTTAGCAGGTTGCTTTATGCTTTTACTGAGGTCCTATTCAACTTTGATCCTAAAATTTTCTTCTAGTTATTATCATTTTTTTCCTGGTCTCAGATGGAAAGTTCTTACTCACTATCCATATTCTTTGTCATTTCCCCCTATTTTTATAGGGATCTCATTCTTCTGTTTATTTCATAAGACCCTTGTCTTTAGTCACTCTTGAAATGTGCATCTTCAATGTTTTTCAGATCTTTTCAGTCATATTATCTCATTTTGTCCCTGTTCATTTTTTTCTGAATCTATATTTAAGAGAATTTACTTTTAGAGCTATTTTAGGTTTACTGACAAGAAAGTACGGAGTATTCCTGTATATCTTCAGTCTTTTTTATCTATTGTTACTATAACATAGAAACCACAAGTGGATGCTTTTAAAGAGGAAAAATTTATTTTCTCACAATTAAGGAGGCTTGAAATCCAAAGTTAGAGTGCCAGCTGTGGTGTAAGGCTTTATTTCTCTGTCTTGGGAATTTCCCAGTGCAGCAATTTGGACACAAAAGATATACTCCATTCTTGGCTCTTCTATCTGGTGGAGCTAAGGGCCCACTCTCCTCCATTCTCTCTCCTTTTATCTTTTTCCACACAAAAGATAATGTAGGCTACACCCAGGAAAACCTCCCTTGGATCACGTCAGGGCTGTGGGTTGATTTAGTATGTTGGATCCCACCATAATCTCCTTATGACTGATTAGATGATTACATTTCAGATAATATCATGGAGATGATTACATCATTATATAACAACACTAACCCTGCTTCATTAATTTCACACAGGTTAAGATTTATAGCACACAGGATAATTACATAATGCCAAGAATCATAGTGTAGCCTAGTTAACATACTTTTAGGAGACACATATCAATGATTCACTTTTGTCTTTGCACATTGTACCCATTAAGATCATTAATCATGAGGACATGACAGGTAATTTGGTTTTTTGTGTTGTACATAAGGTTGTCATGCTTTGGAGTCAATTTGATGGCATCTGCCTTTCTACTTTTGATGAGTATATAGTCTAAAACCTCATCTAATTAGTGTATGTAATACGTTCCTCTGAGTGTTCCCCCTTCTTGTCTTCAACTAGATTGTAAATTTCATTTTAGTAGAGTTAATATGACATTTCTTTGTATTTTTGATGTAGTAATTTTAATTCAAAGTGATTAAACCTTTTGTAATATTCTGTTTTATAATTTATTTTGAAAAGTACAGAATTTCAAGTCAGTTACTTCATTTAATATTTTAAATAGTTATTTTATCAATAAATCTAACAGAATTTAAATATTTTCAATTTTTTTCTATAAAAATTATGTAGCTGAACTCACTCATCTGTACTTAAACTCTTCCCCCCCGCCATGCTATACTTTCACAGGCATATACTAGTGTCTCTAAGGCTTCACTCAGCCTTGCAGATCACAGAGAACTTGGAAAAATGATGAATACAATAATTTTTCATACAAAAATGGTAGATTCCTTGGTGGAAATGTTGGTGGAAACATCAGATCTCTCTATATTTTGGTATGTCTTAATTTTCTTTGAATCTGAAATTATACATTTTAGTATCTTTTTAAATGTTTTTATGTTAACATAATTTTTATGACAGTTCAAATAGACTAATAATGAAAGTACTAGAGGGTGTTTAATTAAACTTGGTAAGAAAAGAAATGTACAAAATTGTATTTTTATGTCTTTTTTTAAATTTTTCTAAGAACAAGTCATGAATGTGTATTTCATTTTTCAAATGTTTTTGAGGGGACAAAACCCCCAGTCTCTTCATTTTACCTTATGAGCTGTCTTTTGAATAAGTGAGAGGAAAAGGTTGTGGATTGAGATAAAATAAAACAAATGTTATACCTAAAATGTTAAATTGAGCATTAATACTGTGATGATAGCTTGACTTCCTTCAGTGTGTTCCCTTTCCTTTACTTCTGACACAGCTTCTTCTGTTGCACTTAGTAGTTTAACATTCTTCTTCTCTCTCCCTACGTGCATAATATGATCTTTGGAAAATCTTGTCGTTGCTTCTTTAGTGTCTGATAAGTACCTATGAAATATTTAAGGCATCCTGGTCATGATAACACTATTAGGCAGTGAAGCTAGGTTTTAAGTTCAAGTAAACTGCTACAGAACAGTGTATTATCAACTATTTTACCCCTTCTTGCCCCCCTTTTAGTGAAACTGATAGGGATAATCCTACGATGTCCCTTTATTTCTACAATGCTAGAATAAATCTCAGTAAATAGGGATGGTAGTTTCTGTCTGTTGAAGAGAAATTATTGGAAGAAGCTTTTGCTGTTTGTTAGCAAGCTTTAAATTAACAAGAAGGTAAGTTTCAGAGATCTTAACAAGGAAGCTTTGAAGGCTCCAAAGGAGCTCATGAGACATAGCAGTAATCATGTATTTTCAGCTTTAAATACTTCATATTTTGAACATGTAAGGATTTTATGTAATTATTTATAAACTGAACTATTATCTGACCCTAAGTCTATCTTCAAAGACAAGGTACTTCTGTGCTACAAAAAACTGCATATTCAGGAAAAAGGAAATTCTTTGGTATGGCAGTTAGTATTCTTTTTCTTGAAAGCTAAAGCATGTTAAAGTACTTTTTAACATAATTTTCAGTCATGTTTAGTTAAATTTTTGTATTTTCTCATAATTTAATTGTTCTTTTGCCTATCATCTCCAAAGTAAAGTGGCTTACTACTTCTTTTTCTCTTATTACCCTAAAGTGTACTCTATTTTTATAAATTCACCTTCTTAGCATTAACATCTCTTAAATCAGGAGGTGGTGATTTAAAATCAATGGAATTTTATTGTGTAATTGGTAATGTTTTTCTATTAGTATAGAAATAATGTTATCTCTTAATTGATAGTCATTTAGCTTAAATGAAGTGTGATGCTATTAAAATTTCAAAGTATGTAGTCATGTGGCATTCATAGTTAACTTTGCATCTAAGTTTCTTATTTTAAATGTTTGTTAATGTTATAAGGATATAATTAATCTGATAAAATAATTTATGTGTAAGAGATATTCTTTGGGAAATATAACTCATTCTTAAAAGAATAAATTCTATTGGTAACCTAATTTTCTTTAATAAAGATAAATGAAATTAAATAATAAAATTTTTAACTTCAGATATTATTGGAAATTTTAATTTGTCTTTTAAACAGTTTTTATAGTCGTGCTTTTGAGAAGATGTTTCAGCAGTGTTTGGAGCTACCTTCTCAGTCAAGATACTCAATTGCATTTCCACTACTTTGCACTCATTTTATGAGTTGTACACATGAACTCTGTCCAGAAGAGGTAATTTTTTAGTACTATTGTGATTTATGTGATATGCAGAATACACTAAGTAAGTTGCTAACCAAACATTTACATCATCTTGATTACCTAATCTCGGTTCCCTCCCTCCCCAAGTACCTTTATGCAGAATCAAAAGAATTTCTGGATATAAAAATAGATATGGATAGGTAAATGTCCATGTATACATGCAATGGCATATTATTATATAACAAATATTATAAAATAACTTATTTAAAATAGATGGGTCCTGTATTAGTGCTTATGGTAATGATATATATACACCAGTTGATTTAAATTAATTCTTTTTCTCAAGTGTTAAAAATTGAATTTATAAATTACTGAGATATTGATGAGAAATTTTACTGACTTACTAATATTACAGATATATTCAGCCAACATCACATTTGCTGGTATTTGTAAGGTAAACACACAAAATTGCTGAGTAACTTAAATACTTAGTAAAGTATCTATAAAAAATTTACTGTTTCTTTTAATAGCCAAAGAACAAATATATTAATGTGAATGTGCAAAGAGCATATATAAAAATATTATAATGTATTACGTTTCAATGTTGATTCTCTTTAATTTGAATTGCAATGGTTTGTAGAAAAGAGACTTACCAAAAGCAATTAACATTAACATCTTTTAAGTTTTAGGGGATATGGCCTATTGTGAGTTTATTTTGTAAAAAACAGACTATAGACTGAGAGAATCCTGCAAAGAATATTAACACCATCTATTTGAGTAGATTAAATGAAAAGAATCCCTAGGCTTAATAGGTATTTCCCCTAGAGTTGATACCTAAGGTATACTATTAACTCTTTTCTCACTGTTCTCCTTTCCATCGTTCCTTGAATCTATCTTCTATTTTTCATTGCTCTTGCTACTATAATAGTTCAAAGTTTCTGTGTTCTTCCATGGTTTTCCTGTCTTAAATATTTTTGTCTTTAAGACTAATACATTACAATCAGAGTCCCTCTTTTCTTCATAAGAACCATTAGTGGATCTCCATTACCTATAAAAGAAAACGGAAATTTCCAAGCCAGTTAGTTATTTAAAGCTTTCAACAGAAATAATCTGTATGGACTATTCTTATTTTCTGCTTTCCACTCCATACCTTAGCCCACCTTACACAGATCATACTAATTTATCTCACTTGTCTGTTCTTTTTGGCCTTTTAAGGATAAAACTCAGTTTATCCAGTTACCTGTTGTTATTGTTAGCGGCTCCAGAGTCAGTTACAACTAAGGGGGATCCCAGTGTGAAGAGTAGACTTGCTCCATAGATAGAGTTTTCAAGATTCATCCTCTTGAAGCAGTTCACTAGACTTGTGTTCCAGGGTGGGAAGGGATTCAAACTACCAATCATACTGCTAGTATTCAAGTTCTTAACTCTTTTGCACCACTCATACCTATAGCACTTGTACTTCTTTTTTAGTGTATATTGTAAATTCTGCTCTTCCAAAAGGTTTTCGTTATTTCTCCAGGTAGAACTTTTGTCTTTTAAGACTCTTTATATCCAATCATTCATAAACATTTTTTTAAATTATTAAATTTTATTAGTTTTAATGAACATTTACAGGGATTTTAGGTTTTCATTCCT